GGTTTCAAGGTCCATCGTGGCTCTCGCGATCGGAAGCCGAATGGCCGCGCTCTATCGTAACACATACAGACGAATTGCCCGGAATAAAGAAGACAACATGTCTAACGGTACAAATTCATTCCGAAGAAATATTAGAAAAATTTTCATCGTATACTAAATTAATACGAGTAATCGCGTACTGCTTACGATTCTTGCGTTCCAACGAAAACACCGGCGTTTTATCAGTCAACGAGATAAAGGAAGCCGAACGACGCATCGTAAAGCTCATACAGCGAACTCATTTTCAAGACGAAATAAATCGTTTATTAACGTGCGGAGAAGTAAAATGCACAAAGCTTGGATCATTAAACCCGATAATTGACGAACACAGTTTATTACGCGTCGGAGGACGAATTCATAGGGCCAACATATCGTTTGATCAGAAACACCCAATTCTTTTACCGTCTTGCAACTACGTCACGGATCTCTACATTTGGTACATTCATGAAAAATTTTATCATACGGGAATACAATCGACACTGTATAATGTTCGATAACGTTTCTGGATAATTGACGGTTGCAATCAAGTGCGTAGAGTCATTCGTCGGTGCGTCAGATGTGCACGTTTTCGTTCCGAGAACGCGAAATATAAAATTGCAGATTTGCCAAAATCAAGACTCGATAACGTGGCTCCGTTTTATCACACAGGCATCGATTATTTTGGCCCAATTCTCGTTAAGGAGAAAAAGCATCGTAATCGCAGTAGCATCAAAGTCTACGGGTGTATATTCATATGCATGTCAACCAAGGCTATTCATATCGAAATTGTAACCGATTTATCAACAGATGCTTTTATAGCATCTCTGAAAAGATTCGTCAGTCGTCGAAGTGTTCCGGCGCATATTTACTCAGACAATGGAACCAATTTCGTAGGCGCACAAAATCAATTCCGCGAACTGTACTCCCTAATGGGATCCGAGGAATTTTGTACTCAATTGCATGAGTTTACCTTAGAAAACAAGATCGAATGGCATTTTAATCCACCAAATTCGCCACATTTCGGCGGTCTCTGGGAGGCTGTTGTGAAGTCGAGCAAGCACCATTTAAAACGGGTAATGCGCGATCTCTTGTTTACATACGAAGAATAGAACACTCTAGCGGTAGAAATCGAAGCAATTTTGAATTCGAGACCTTTATGTCCTCTTTCTACCGATCCAAACGATCCAATCGCATTAACGCCTGTACATTTGCTTATTGGCAGACCTTTCACAATGCTGCCGGAAAATGATTTCTCTTGTGTTGCAGATAATCGCTTATCATCATGGCAATTGATTACAAAGATTCGACAAGAATTTTGGCGACGATGGCAATTAGAATATTTAACGGAATTGCAGAAACGACAAAAATGGATTAAAAAGAATGTTAATCTGAAACTGGACTCTATTGTCTTACTAATTGACAAAAATCAACCCTGTATGCAGTGGAGGCTGGGACGGGTGGTCGAGTTACATCCGGGGGACGACGGCGTGGTCAGAGTGGTCACGATTAAAACCTCACACGGAACATTCAAAAGAAATGCGACTTCTCTCTGTCTGTTACCTACGGACGCTTAAGACTTTAATTTCATTTATTATGTAACCAAGAAGATGTAATTTTTATTTTTGCTTTCAACGATTTAAATCATTTAATGTTTAAACGACAATGCGTAACAACAAGCGATTGCTTTGCAAAACAGTCGTCTTGTTGTTTGAAATTTATGCGACAACTGTAACAAGCGTTATTGTTAAGAATTGAACGTCCGCTGCATGCACAGACGCACACTTAAACGAATTCGTTTTGCTCGTTGCACTCCCAACGGGGGAGGATGTTCGGTGAATGGCGAATATATTTATGCGAAATTGTTCGTGATTCGAGGGTTTTTCAACTCGAATGTCGTGAACGCGTGCGGCGGGTTCCGCTCCGCGAGAACGCGGGATAAATGTGCGATGGGAGAGAAGGCGGTATAGCGTTGAGAAGGAGTGAGAGAGACAGAGTGATATAACGTTGAGAAGGAGCGAGAGAGACAGAATGATAGTGGACCGCGACCGCGAGACTGAAGATTGAAGACGGGAGCGAGCGAGAGTAACAGATTTATAAAAAGCACAATTGTTTAATCAAATTAACAAAACTGTCATTTATTCACTTTGTCCGTGTTAAGTATAATGCTGGAATCGTATCACTGACGCGACACTTAGAGTTCCGCGTTCCCGTTACTAACGATAAGTCCGGCCAAGTTGTTCTAATTTTGAAGGTACGGACGCGATCTCGATCGTATGATTTCTCGTTAGCTTCTGACAAAGAATCGGCGGGAACGCCGGTTCGCTCTTCAATTTGCCCATACGAGAAGAAGCAAAACAGTTTGACCGGGAAACGCTTCAAGGTTTTTTCTGCGTGCGAAAGTCGGGATAGAATAACGAATAAACAAGAGACGTCGAAAACAAGTCAGAGGATACTTTCGCGAACGAGAATCTGTCGACGAGAGTCATGCCAAAATATTTAATTTTTAAGACGATAATCACAAAGGACAGCCGTTACTGCGAGGCTGACACAAATAACGCGAGTAATTTGAAAATATTGACACAATAAGCAAGATCGAACGACTTGGCGGAACGACAATTTGAACGACTTAAATTTACAGAATAGACAGACTCGAATTTAATAAACGTGTTGACGGTCCTTAACATACCGCTCGCCTCGAAACTATCGTTTCGAAATATATGCTATGGGTACCAAACTAAGAGAACATTTAGAAGGATTTAACGAGGCGATCGGAATGTCGAGAGGACGTATGATTTCCTTTGAAATTGGGAGCATGAAGTCGCTTTACGTCGGAGGCTCCAGGCTCTCGATATCGATTGGAAGCAGGCATAGCTTATTAATCGGTCGCTTATACTCGGACGCCGCAGTCTTCACCGTAACAACGCGAGTTAATCCGTCTTGACCCGTGTGACATCGTAGTACGCGAGCGAGCTCCCATTTGCAAGGGGGGAGTAGATGGTTACGCAATAAGACGAGTTGACCGACGCGGATCTCGGTCTTGGCAGGTCGTTTTCACTTGACGCGTTGTTGTAACGTATTTACATAGTCGTCAAGCCATAACTTCCAGAATCTTTCTGAGATCTGGCGCACGAGTTGCCAGCGCGACAGTCTATTTTCGCGGAGATTCAAAACGGAAGGTTCGGGAACTGCGGTCAGGGCCGAGCCGATCAAAAAATGCCCGGGAGTTAACGGTTCATAATCGTCGACCGAGTCGTTGAGAGGAGCGAGCGGTCGGGAATTGAGACACGCCTTCACATTGCATAAGACTGTTGAGAATTCCTCAAATGTGAGAGTATGAGCCCCAATCACTCGACGGAGATGGTGCTTTACACTCCGTACTCCCGCCTCCCATAATCCGCCGAAATGAGGAGCGGAAGGTGGCATAAAGTGCCACGTGATTCGATCGGAAGCGGTTCGATTGAGAAAGTCCGGGTCCCTGATAGCCGCGCGAAACGCGGCGGTAAGCTCGCGTTCGGCGCCCACGAAATTCGTGCCATTATCTGAATACATGGCCGAGGGCAGGCCGCGTTGAGCGCAAAATCGAGAAAACGCGCCGATAAACGTTAAGGTTGAGTAGCCCTCCACGAGCTCCAAATGAATGGCGCGAGTCGCCATGCAAATAAAAATCGCGATATACGCTTTTCGTGACGGGATTCCGCGACCAGACAAGGATCGTACGAGCACCGGACCAGCGTTATCCAGTCCGCAATTGAGAAAAGCGCGTGCGGGAGGAGTCACCCGCACGCGAGGCAGGTCACCCATCTGTTGGAAGGGAATCGTGGCCCTTTCTCGAGTACAAACAACGCAGCGAAAAATAGTGAGCTTTGCGAGACTTCAGGCGCGAAGTACCCAATACTCGCGTCGTAGAATAGCAAGCGTTAATTGTAGACCTGTGTGTAGAGATTTTAAATGCACGTGATACAGAACCAAAGCGACTAGCGGATGCGAGGCGAGAATAATCGGGTGTTTAACGGAAAGGGAAGCGGCGCGTGCGAAAGCCGCCCGCCAACACGGATTAATCTATCCTCGCCGAGGAAAGGGTTGAGCGACAGAATCGAGCTTTTCGAGGATATGGCTCGTTGACTTGTGAGCGCAGCGAACTCGAGAGGGAAAAGCAATTGCTGAATCCGTCTCAGAACAAATTCTTTCGCGAGTTGACATTCGCGGGCTGATAACGCTAGCGTGTTCTCATTAACGTCGTCAACGGGAATCGACTGCTTCCGAGTTTTATTGATGAAGCGCATTATATACGCTGTTACGCGAATTAACCGAGGCCACGACGAAAATCTCATCGTAAAGTCGCAGTCAAGTTCTGTCGAAGCTAAATGAGACTGAATACTCTCCTTTTGTTCAATTTGAGTATCGAAATTGTGCGATCGAGAAGCCGGCTCGTCGATCGGGTAACGCAACCATGCTGGGCCACACCACCAGAGTGGGTGAGTTCGAAGGAGAGACCCGGCGATTCCGCGAGATGCGCAATCTGCGGGATTTTAATTGGTGGAAACGTGGTTCCACACCGCGTTCGGAACGCGCGATTGTATCTCTGATACGCGATTCGCGACGAACGTCTTCCATTTGGCCGGTTGTTGCGTGACCCACGCTAAAACGACAGTTGAGTCTGTCCAGCAATAGCACGGGGAGGTGGCGAGACCAAGAGTGGCTCGCACGAATTCGAGTAGCCGAGCCAGCAAGCCGGCTGCGCATAATTCCAGCCGAAGAATACTGAGGGACTTGATCGGAGCGACCTTTGACTTGCCAATTAGCAAGTGAGAAGAGATTTCGCCAGAGAGAGAAATGAGCCGAAGGTACACGGCCGCTGCGTATGCGTGAGTAGACGCGTCAGAAAATCCGTGCAATTCGCAGCGGACAGTGTCAGACCCTCGCTGAATCCATCGATTCAGTTGGAGATCGTGGAGATCGGCAAGTGAGGCCTGAAGGGCTTCCTACTTTTGCAGGACGTCAGTCGGAAGGACATCGTCCCAGTCGAGTTTAAGCTGCCACAATTGTTGCATAAAGATCTTGGCAGCGATTGTTACTGGAGTGCACCACCCCATTGGATCAAACAATTTGGCAACGTACGAGAGTATTGACCGCTTGGTTTTTGAAACGGACGGAATATGAGTTACGGTAAATTGGAACATATCGGAAGACGGGCTCCAGCTTATGCCTAAGATTCTTAGATGTTCGTCGATTCGAAGAGTGCGATCGCACGCGAGGCCGTGGTTGTCGACCTCGATATCGTTCAGCAGAGCAGCGGAATTGCTCGACCATTTTCTCAATTCGAACCGTCCTCGACCAAGCAAAGTGCAGACCTGATCGCGCGTTTGTTTGAGAAGCGGAATATCATCGGCACCAAACAGAACATTATCGACGTAGATGTTCTCATGCAGGACCGGCGCGGCAAGAGGAAACGAGCTGCTTTCGTCCGTCACGAGCTGTTTTATAACCCGAAGAGCGAGAAAGGGCGCGCACGCTGTCCCGTAAGTAACCGTGGTCAGTTGATAGGCCTGCCCGGTATCTGAGCAGTCGGCGCTCCATAAGATTCGCTGGAAGTCGATGTCACGAGAGTCAACACGGATTTGGCGATACATCTTCGCGATGTCCGTCGCATATACATACCGGAATTGCCGCCATCGCAAGATCACTGCAGATAACTCCGTCTGGAGTTTCGGATCTGCATGCAAATGATCGTTTAACGAAGTCGAGTTTGTCGTTCGACTTGACGCGTTAAAAACGACTCTCAATCGCGTAGTGAGACTACTGTCTCGGATGACAGGATGATGCGGAATATATACGTGCTGAGCGGAAAGCACTGAGTCCAGAACTTGACGCATATGACCGAGCGCTTCGTATTCGCGCAAGAAATCGACGTATTTGGATTTTAGAACAGCGTTCGACCGAAATCGTCGGTGAAGACTGGAGAGTGAACGCTCGGCGATAAAACGCGATTTACCAATGTCGATTGGTGGATCGCGCCTGAACGGCAGACGCACGACGTACCGACCGTCAGCATCGCGCGAATGTGTTTGTGCGAAGTGCTGTTCGCACTGTTGTTCTTCTGGGCTGAGAAGCGCGCGACGCGGCACTTCTTTGACTTCCCAGAAGCATCTGAGTTCTCGATCGATAGTATCCGCGCTCGCGCAATGCTGCACGGTAACCGATCGATGCGGCGCACCGGAATCCGACGTGGGGCCTGAGAGGACCCAGCCGAAGATCGTCCGCTGGGCGATCGGTTGTCCGCTCGTTCCTTTCCGAATACCGTCGAGTAATAATTCGGGATAAAGGTCCGCACCGATGATGAGTTCGATAGATTCGGCACTGACGGGAGTCGGATCCGCGAGCGCAAGATCCTGAAGATAGCTCCAATCGCACAGAGAGAATGCCTTTGATGGCGAGTATTTAGTTAAAACTTTGAGTATCGACGCGGTCGTCGTTAACACCGGTGAGTTAGAATTGATCGGAGCGATCTTGACTTGAGCGGCGAAACGACAAGTGCCCGCATCTACGCCACCGACGGCGGAAATCGAAAGAGGCAATCGAACACGTTGTAATTTTAAATTTTGAGCGAGACGCTGTGTGATAAAGGTAATTTCTGTGCCTTGATCGAGGAACGCTCGCACGTTGAGTGTACGACCCGACGGCGAAAAAACAGCAACACGGGCAGTCGCGAGTAATACATTTTTGCGCGCGGTTACCGTCGAAGTAGAAAATAATGCCGTTACTGAGTCGTTTTCTTTTTTATCCGACGTGTAACACGGTCGTTGAGTTTGGATTGCTAGAAGAAGAGGTCGAGTCAGAATGTAGCATCGAGTGATGTCTATTTTGACAGATTCGACATGAGTATTTGCTCGGGCACGCTTGCACGGCGTGCTTCGAGCTCAAACAATTAATACAGCGATGTGCTGATTTAATGAGTTCAGATTGCTGACTCGGCGTCTTCTTCAAGAATTGCGGGCATTTACTCAAAAAATGCGCAGTTTGACACAAAGGACACGCGAGTTTTGAAACGGTCGCTGACGCGCTTGACACCTTTTGCCCACGCATTTTTTCCGCTGTCGACGGTGACAATTCTTCAAGCGCGCGAACACGCATCTCGAGGAACCGATCGAGAGCTTTGAACAACGGAATTTGCGGGTCCTCACCGGTTTTCAAGCGCCATGCCTTCCGAGTAGCATGATCCAATTTTTGCGACACGCAGTGAACGAGAATGTCACTGAGCATCTCCTCGGGCGACCGCTGAAGAGCTCTCAGCGAGGCGATAGCCCGATTCGCTTTGTCGCGAAGTTCGTTGAGTTCGAACGCGGACTCGCGCGTAGCCGTCGGAAGATCGAATAAGGCGGATACATGCACTTCGACTAATCGGCGCTTATTATCGAAGCGTGAGGTGAGTGTTTTCCACGCGATCTCGAAATTCGTAGCAGTAATCGGAATAGATTTAATGGTATCTAACGCGCGACCGGTGAGGCTTGAGGCTAAAAAATGCATACGCGAAAAGGGAGTGAGATCTTGGTTTTGAATAATAAGCGAAGTAAATCGATCTCGAAAAGATTCCCATTCATCGAGGTTCCCGGAAAAGGGCGGGAGTTTAATCGGCGGTAAATGCGTGAGCGAGAAAGATGGACGATCTATTGTACTCATCGGATGCAGCGGAGACGATGACATCGATGGTGCAGGCTCCAGCTCCTCGAGGCAGTCGGCCATGTAGTCCAGCGTGCCTTCGTAAATCTTCTGGTGACGCTCGAACTCGGCGTCTCGGAAGTAGCTGATGTTGGCTCGTTGCTCTAGTGGGACGATCTGCACGAGGTTGGCGTGTTTGTTCACACAGGTCGTCCAGTTCTCCTTCAAGATTCCGATCCGTTGCCGAATTTTAGCGGCAGTGTAATTGTTCTTGCCGATCTTCTTAAAATTGGTGAGACTTCGCTCGATAGTTTGCAGCAGAATGATCTGCTGCGCCAGAGGCTCGCTCATGGTAAAGCTCGCTTTGAACTATCCTTGCTTCGAGGTAGGCGCCCGTCACCGCGCTGGAGTGGAGGAGGCCACAGAACAGATCCGCACAGAGTCACCCCGATCCGGCTCGAAGGACCAAAATTTGTGTTCGTGATTTGAGGGTTTTTCAACTCGAATGTCGTGAACGCGTGCGGCGCGTTCCGCTCCGCGAGAACGCGGGATGAATGTGCGATGGGAGAGAAGGCGGTATAGCGTTGAGAAGGAGTGAGAGAGACAGAGTGATATAACGTTGAGAAGGAGCGAGAGAGACAGAATGATAGTGGACCGCGACCGCGAGACTGAAGATTGAAGACGGAAGCGAGCGAGAGTAACAGATTTATAAAAGCACAATTGTTTAATCAAATTAACAAAACTGTCATTTATTCACTTTGTCCGTGTTAAGTATAATGCTGGAATCGTATCACTGACGCAACACTTAGATAGAGTTCCGCGTTCCCGTTACTAACGATAAGTCCGGCCAAGTTGTTCTAATTTTGAAGGTACAGACGCGATCTCGATCGTATGATTTCTCGTTAGCTTCTGACAAAGAATCGGCGGGAACGCCGGTTCGCTCCTCAATTTGCCCATACGAGAAGAAGCAAAACAGTTTGACCGGGAAACGCTTCAAGGTTTTTTCTGTGTGCGAAAGTCGGGATAGAATAACGAATAAACAAGAGACGTCGAAAACAAGTCAAAGGATACTTTCGCGGACGAGAATCTGTCGACGAGAGTCATGCCAAAATATTTAATTTTTAAGACGATAATCACAAAGGACAGCCGTTACTGCGAGGCTGACACGAATAACGCGAGTAATTTGAAAATATTGACACAATAAGCAAGATCGAACGACTTGGCGGAACGACAATTTGAACGACATAAATTTACAGAATAGACAGACTCGAATTTAATAAACGTGTTGACGGTCCTTAACAGAAATATTCACGAGTTTAATGATTAAGTTTAATTTAATTTTTTTCGTTTGGGACAATAAATATTCGTTATTCTTAATATTTAGTTTATTAAGTTTCGTTCTGTACTAATATACGACAGTCGGTAATTAATGAGCGCATAGATAAAAAGCTCTCTCGGCCGCTAGCACGACAGCGCCAATCAAAAATTATCGCGCCACAGCGCAACGGTGTGTCTTGTGCGTGCGGGATTCATTCGAGAAGTAGCGTCCAACGTGTGCACACGTGCGAGTTGTTCTTTCTTTGTGTAGCGATCATTGCGTGATCTGCTATTATACGTTTTTAATATACGTTTCTCTTATACGTTCCTTATATATCAGTGCATAATCTGATATTATACGTTTCTTATACGATATATCAGTGCATAATCTGATATTATACGTTTCTTATATATCAGTGCATAATCTGATATTATACGTTTCTTATACGTTTCTTGTATACGTTTTTATATGTCATTGCGTGATCTGGTTTGTGCGTTTCTTGTATTATGCGTTAGTCGCTCGCAAAATTCCAGAGTGAATGCGTGTATTACAACGGATCGTGCAGGCCGATCATCGTGCCGAGCACGAAAAGCAAGCGACATCCTTATACGATACACATACAATACATTTCAAAATAAAATGGATTTTTTACGCCATACAGGCTTTTTCCCATCAAAAGTGTAGTTTTATTTCTTTACAAACTTGAAATACCTAATCACGAAAAGGAAAAACGAAACATCGGTAGGACTTTTGAACCGCAAGAGTTTCTACCATACACATTTCAAGCCTTTTTCAGCGCAATACAAATATTTTAATTATAAATTGAAATGTAATATTAAACATTGAAGACGGTAATTAACAATGTCAAAATAATAAATATATAAAGTCAGTTTTTTGTCTTGTTACATATACGTATGTTGCTAAACAAGTCATCGTGTATGACAACTACTATTACTGATATATACTGAGTTCGAGCGACCGTACCATGCAATCACTTATGAGTATAGACTTCCTGATTTACTGGTCAAGGGAGATATCTTGATTGAATCCTCATAATGAAATGTTGTTAAACATTAAATTGAGATCTAAATAAACAATATCCGATTATTCATTATAATCTTACAAATAAAATGCACTGCACACTCACTCAAACAAATTGGTGATTATTTTACAGAAATTTCAAGTATCAGATCCGACATCTTTTTAACAAAGTTTTTTTTCTGAAGACAAAACAAAACGTTTAAACGTCACAACTCTCAGATCACAAAAGAGACAGTAACTAAAGTGTTTTACCTTTTTTATATATATCAAGGGTGTTTATAAACCTTGATAATTTTGGCAAAGACTCAATAATGTATTATATATATCAGGCAAAAATTCAGTATCATTTTGTAGATTCAATCCATTAGCTTGTCTTTTTATATATANTAAACGTCACAACTCTCAGATCACAAAAGAGACAGTAACTAAAGTGTTTTACCTTTTTTATATATATCAAGGTTGGTTTATAACCTTGATAATTTTGGCAAAGACTCAATAATGTTATTATATATATCAGGCAAAAATTCAGTATCATTTTGTAGATTCAATCCATTAGCTTGTCTTTTTATATATAACATTTCCGATATAAGTCTTTTATTATAATACGGTACTTTATCTATAAATTTTTACTTCACCCCAGTCAAAATCATGGAAGAACTCTAATCTGATCAGTAACAACTGATTTATTAGAACACTTTTTATTGATGTGTTTTTTATGTTCCGTTATTCTAGTATTCAATTTCCTGCTGGGAAAGTGGCATAAAATCAATTGTCCCTATAGAGTTATCGTCTCGTCTATTGATACACCACTTTATATTTAGCAATTTTTTACACAAAATATTAATAAAAAGTATTCCTAAAACTGGTAATTATACAGAAAAACAGTTTTAAATTAGTGGAAAAATTTTCTACATTACAATTAGAGAATAATTCGATTGATCTCATTGGATGTTGTGTCACTCTTACTAATATACCGGTAGGCTTAGTATTGGAAAAATTTATCGGAGAGATGGCAATTCATCACTGATAATTGCAGTCTTAGAAAATCGGAGTTTTTAAATGGCATTAGTCCTAATATTAAACTCTACATTTTTTACTTTTAACGATACAAACAAACTTATGGAACTCCGATGGGTCCCCTCTTTCCCATAGTCGCCGATGTAGTGTTACAAGATTTGGAATCCAAAGCTCTAAATTTACTTAACTATAAATTGGTTTTTTTCCATAGATATGTAGATGACCTTATTTTGTCAGTACCTAATAAATATATTGAACATACGTTAAATACTTTTAATTCGTTACATCCACGTATACAATTCACAATTGAAAAGGAAAAAAACCATAGTTTGAGTTTCTTGGACATTAAGTTAATATCAAAAGATAATAAAATTATATGTGATGGGTTTAGAAAATCTACGTTTTCTGGAAGGTATTTGAATTTCTTTTGCAACACCCTATATGTCAAAAAAAAGGCACAATCATCGGTCTGATTGATAGGGTAATTTTATTATCACATCCTCATTCATCAGAAAAATATAGAAATGATTATTAACATCCTAATAAATAATAATTATCCTGTAAATTCATATTTGACACAAATTAACGAATAGACTAAAAACTCTAATTTATACTAGAAATAATATTAAAAACAACAGTCTAAATCAGTCAAATGACTCTTCTTTGTTTTTACTGTACCTTATTTACCGAATATTACAGAACAATTGATAGGTATTACAAAAAAAGCTGACACTAGACTCTCGTATGTAAGCATGAATAAATTAGGGAAAATTTTATAAAAACACATAAAGATAAAATACCTAAAGGAGCGAATACTTGTAGTATATAAAATTAACTGTAAAAAACTGTGATGCCTCGTATGTGGGTCAGACCAGCAGGAAATTGAATACTAGGGATAACGGAACATAAAAACACGTCAATAGAAAGTGTTCTAATAAATCAGTTGTTACTGATCATAGATTATGTTCTCCCATGATTTTGACTGGGGTGAAGTAAAAATTTTAGATAAAGAACCGTATTTAATAAAAGACTAATATCGGAAATGTTATATATAAAAAGACAAGCTAATGGATTGAATCTACAAAATGATACTGAATTTTTGCTGAATATATAATAACATTATGAGTCTCTGCCAAAATTATCATTTATAAACAAACCTTGATATAAAAAAGTGTGAAACACTGAGTACTGTCTTATTTGAGATCTGAGAGTTGTGACGGTTTTAAACGTTCTGTTTTGTCTTCAGGAAAAAAACTTTGTTAAAAAGACGTCGGATTTGATACTTGATACTTTTGTAAAATAATCACCAATTTGTTTGAGTGAGTGTGCAGTGCATTTATTTGTAAAAGATTATAAGAATAATCGGATATTGTTTATTTAGATCTCAATTAATGTTTAACAACATTTCACTATAAGGATTCAATCAAGATATCTCCCTTGACCAGTAAATCAGGAAGTCTATACTCATAAGTGATTGCTTGGTACGCTCGCTCGAACTCACAATCAGTATATATCAGTAATGGTGGGTTGTCATACACGATGACTTGTTTAGCAACATACGTATATGTAACGAGACAAAAAACTGACTTTATATATTTATATCTTGACATTGTTAATACCGTCTTTGATGTTTAATATTACATTTCAATTTATAATAAAATATTTGTATTGCGCTGAAGAAAACTTGAAATGTCAGCCGAAACGTTCGCATATTATTTCTTATGTATTTATTATTTCGTTTAAATAAATTTTATTAATATCATCTGACAACTGTGTTACGTTTAATAGCTCTTATAGCCTTCTTTGTTTACAATTATAAAATTTAACAGAGCTAATTATTATTTTTATTTAATATAATATTGTTTATTTTAAAAAGGATATACAAAGGATGTTTTATCATCATTGTATGAGTGTTTATTGACATATTTTACCAATGGAGTCAATTGTTTCTTAAATTGCTTAGACATTAAAAATG